GGGGGGTAACCAACCCGGTCTTTCTTTTTTCGTGTATCATTTCTAACCGTTTATTATCATTTTGACAAATCTGCTGCAGAGCGAACTAGAAAAGGATGCTGACGAGTCTTTATATATATATATATATGTTTTTTTTTCTCTCTCTCTCTCTCTATCTCTCTCTTCTTCTCTTTCTCTCATGTCCCCTTTGGGCACATGCAAGGTCGTCCTCCTGCATGGTAGAGGGGACAGTGGCCCTAACCTTTGCGGTCTTGCCTGAGGCCTAGCACCAAAAAAGATGCACTCAACGAGTCAACTAGTCGCCCACCCTGTACTGCTTGGTTTAAACAGTTTGGATATCATTGGGTATCGAAGTGCAAATTGTATAAGTTAAAGAAACATAAATATGTTATACACTATTGTAGTGTCGAGCTTTGATCATCACTACCCCCATGTTTGCATTTTGGCTCAAGGCTGCCCTCATTGTATCGGGATGCGGGGAGGGTACAACTTCCCATTGGTACCTGAGCTTACCCGGGGACGGCGAAGCTCTGTGGCCCGAGCGTGGGGTTGCCACCGTATGGTATCGGGCACATTGGACCCCTCAGCAGTGGCCGCCGACTTCACCCCGGACTATTTGTGGGCGTTCCTCCCCCGGCTTCCTCGGGTATGATCCAGCTCAGCGGTATCTCGCGTCTGTGGTGCCTCCGCACCTGGGGCCTCATGCGTCGTGGAATGTGTCCTACACAGCTACCCGCAGACGTGCGGACACATCGAGCCCTGCCAAGAGTATAAGGCCCGGAACACCTGGGGCAGCGGCTGAGCCCCTCCTGGTGGCACCAGCCTGTGCATGCTGTGGCGACCCTACATGGGCGACCTGCATCTGTGTGTTGGGGGTGTGGGTTGCGAATGCAATCCCAAAAGCAGTCCCCAAAGCGAACTATGCCCGCGCTGTCGCCCGATTTCTTCTGACAGTGAGTAGCTCCTGTGCCGCCCACGCCGTGGCCCACCGTGACCAAACGCTGCCAGGTGCCTCGACAGGGAGACTCGGCGCCAGAGGCACTGGGACGTGCTTTAGGCAATTGGCCCACCGCAGCCTTCATGCAGGAGAAGTAGTCAGTGCTCATTGTGGGCCGGAACTATCACCGGCCGGAGCGGGCCTTGATCCTTTTTCCCGAAAGCATTGCGAAGGGTTCTTCCGGAAAATCTTTTGAACACTGACACTTCGACGCTTACACTTAGACACACCTAGACATTGACACTTTCACCACACTTGCAGGATAACATGAACGCTATACGTAGCCCTGTGTAAGTGGAAGAGCGAAAGCTGTCAAAGTATGCAAGTGTAAGTATGCAAGTGATGAGTATGCAAGCATGCAATGAGTAGGCAAGTGAACTAGCACGGGAGATGTCCTAATGAAAAAACATTTCCCCACTTTATAAATTCTCTCTTAAAGGCGGAGGGTGGGACGAACAGCGTCAACCGAAAGTGCAACCCTCTGCGGAGATCGTGCGTGTCGAGTGCGCGAAATGCAGGCGAGAGTGCGATTTGGCGGCTGCCCGCGCGACCCTCTGCGGAGATCGTGCGTGTCGAGTGCGCGAAGTGCAGGCGAGAGGGGGATTTGCCGGCTGCCCGCGCAACCCTCTGCGGAGATCGTGCGTGTCGAGCGCGCGAAATGCGGGCGAGAGGCGTGGAGTATCTGGGGAGCTGGGAGATGAGCACTGGCGACGTTGTAGTACAACTGTAGTTCGCGGAGTAGCTGGGGAGCTGGAAGCTCAGAACTGGTGACTTTGTAGTACAACTTTAGTACGCAGAGCAATCTGTGGAGCTGGAAGCTGAGAACTGGCGACTGCGTAGTAC